GAAAACGTCTAAGGCAAAAAAGGTGGGAAAGGAAATGTATAAACTGTTACCACGGCCCTTTGTCCGGTTTAGAAATTACTACAGGGTGTCCCAAAAAAATGTATACACATTTTGAACAATTGTAACGTTGATGTTTACTATAATTTAATTATTTCAAAAATGTAAAAGTATTCAGAAGTATCATTTTATTGTTTTTCCACTGCATTTTCACCATATTTTAAATAATTGAAAAAGAGAAAAGCCATTGAACATGAATGCGCCCAAATACGAGTGGAATTGTTTTATGGTGTGTGCGCTACCATTGCTTCGCGCTGTCAGCAGTTTCTGCATTAAAGGGACGTCAGTTTGAGAACATACATTCAAAAACAATAAAATGATACTTGTCAATAGTTTTATCTTATTTGAAATAATAAAATTCCCATAAACACCAAGTTTACAATTATATAAAATGTGTATACATTTTTTTGGGACACCCTGTATTTCTTTGTGATGTTTTACGCTAAAAGAGCAAGCATATGTTCCTTAGTTATGGGACTGTGTTGTGATATTAGAGCTCTTCGGTACTGGTATAATAATGATAAATTGTATATTTAAGGCACAAGGGGCCCTTTCATTACAAACTTAATGCTGTCGTGAAAAGAAACAAATACAAAATGGGAGTGCGTTGTGATATTGGAGCTCTTCGGTACTGGTATGCGATATCCACAAATTTGGCTTTCATCCAACCCATGTCCTCAGTGGATCTGGGTATAAAGTCCGATAGTTGAGAGCTCAGGTCTTCAACTTGAGTTTCAACTTCAACTGGAGTAATTCTTTTCTTGTATAAAATTATTTATATATCTCCTATGCAGATATTTGTGGCAGCCTGAATTCGGTAGTGCTGCGCTGATTCATCTCGTTCTCGCTCTCCAAGACTTTACCTACCACGAGTTACTCCGCGCGCCCAACGCTGACTCATCCTCTTATCTCTGCGTTCTCGTGTACTTTCGCACCTCTGCTGTCGACGCGCGTACGCCCGAGGCTAATCGGTGCTTCGCGAGCTCTAATGCCAACAACGGCACCCTTTTCTGATTTGCTGGGGACTGGACAGACTGGACTAAAACCCGCACGCACAGACACTTTTAGGTTGACGCGACTGGCTTTTGTACGTGGCGCTTGGAACAGCTATCGAATGGCTACTTTTGCTCGGTAAAGTTGTTCCTTTCAACCCTGTCTTGCCCGACTCTTGATTTGGGGATCTTTCTGGTATCGATGCCGCAACTAGCTTTCAATAAGTATCATTTTACTTGATCGTCAATAAATGCAACTACTGGTTCCTAGTAGGCTGAAAAGTGACCTTAATTTGCTATCGCTACATGCAAAAGAATTTCTTTTACCGTACTATCGTTCACGTATTACAGAATTCTGCGGTTATGTAGCACTACGGGGATACTTATAAGCTGTCTTTACCGTAATTTCATTTCTTGTATACACGGATTTCGTTGAGCCAAAAAGGATAACCGACTTTCAGTCTTCGCTAGCTAGATGAGATATAATTCTGCGGAGGACTGTCAAAAAAGCCCAAATTCCACGCTTTATTTTCCAATGTATAATGTTTATCAGCAAGCAATGCCAAGAGTCTCAGATTGTAATAGTGATCTGCGTCGACGCAAACACTTAGGTTACAAGAAGACAGAAGTGGGGAAACTGTAGTGGTCGCTGTTGTCCGACGCCCTCCTAACTCTTGACGCCACAAACGAGGTCACTCACAGCACAGTACCTCGCACGAAGGCAGTTTTCCC